CCATCCATCACTTGGCAGCCACTAGCCCGCAGGCTGACACGGCCATTAAGGCCTGAGACCAAGTGCTCAATCTCTTCCGAACCGTCACCCCCATTCTTGCCCTCACTCCTGGCCTGGCTCCGCTCAGAGTCCAGGACTGGGAACAGCAGCTAAAGGCGTTGGGGTGAGCAAGCCCTTGGCACCATACAGAGAAATGCAAGCACGGGGCACCCAGGAAGCCACACGGGCCCACTGGGACAGGAAGGCCCAGTCACCTGTGGACTCTCAGCAACTCTCCCTCCACCTCATAATCTCGCCTCCTCCCCTCTCTGCTTCACAGGGATAAAAACCAAGCAACTGGCCCAGTACGCCCCCTCTTCCTCTCTTAAGGGGTGAAAAGAGAGAATTTGGGTGGTGAGAGGGAGATGCTCTTGGGAGCCTCTGCCTTGGAGAAGAACCAGGAAAGTAATCATCTAGGGTCTCCCTGCAGCTTCTGTAACCTGCTCCCTGCAAGGCCTCACTCACCAATTGGGTCAGGGAGACCATACAGTTACTGGGCTACCTAGGCCGGAAGGAATCGGAAGGAGGGGAGGGAGGCTGGCTTCCATGGGCCTTGATGAGCTCTGTGTGGTCTGGGTCAAGTCCTTGACCTCGCGGAACCTTGGGTGTTCACCCTTACGGTCAGGGTAGGTGGTGGAGGGGCCAGTCAGTGCTGGGGCTTACTCTGCCAGGAGCCTAGTAGATGCTGTTTTGTTTACTCCTCAAAAGACTAAGAGACGGAGATCAAATACTCCCACAGACAAACTGAGGTTTAGAAAGCTCAAGATGTGTGACAAAAATCAGCGGTGGGTACCAGGCATGTTCTGCTTGACTGAAATCCACGCTTCTCTCAACGGGCTGTGGCTCTAGTACCCCCACCCTCACCCCTGCCAGAATGTGGGAGCAGCTCTGCATACCAAGGTCTCCCCATCTTCCTCATAGCTTCTGCATAAAGCCCTGGAGATGGTGGGCCCTCCGTCATGTTGGACGGAAGCTCAGGTCGCCTCCCCCTCACTGCCCTTGACCGTCCCAAACACACCCTGCATCTCAGCCACTGCTCGAGAGGCATTCCCGGAGAGGGAATGGGAGGGATGCAGGCCTGCCTCCTTTGCCTGGAGCACATCACCTAACCTTCTGGACCTCAGTTGTTCCATTTGTAAAATGGGCATGATGACAATGACCTCCCGTAGTCCTTGTGACGAGGAATCACAGTGCCTGTAGACAGAGAGTAAATATTGTCGGGCGTGTGCTTTTGGCCAGGAACTGGGCAGAGGGCTTCAGAATGGAAGGTGGGAATGGGACCAGGGCTTTGTTCTCTGCACACCTCCACACCAGTGAGCCAGGTGCCTGGGCAGATGGCAGCCATTTTACTGTAGAACAGACGTGGGGGTGAAGGTGATGGATCTCACATGACTGACTCCATAGTTCAAATCCCAGACCCCCATAGCTTGAAAGACATTCCAGGCATGTGTGCGTGCATGCCCAAAATGCTCAGAGGAGAATGGAAGAAAAGGGACTGTGGTGTGCCCCCCACTCCCTGTGAAGTAATTCTCACTTTCCCTTTCTCTGTCTCTCTAGTGAGTGCACACTGCCTATAGCAAACAAACAAACAAAAAAAGGTGGGGGAGGCCTTACATGTCCTGAGAAGACGACCCTGCGCTGGGGGCTTCCTTGTCTGATGGCCCACTACAGGTGGAGTAGAGGAGGGCAGTGTGGCGGGTTCCCAGTGAGGGGGTTATCTGCTTTTACATGGCGGCAGCACCCACGGCCCCCAGCTTCCCCTTAATACCTGGGCCTGGAGGGGGAGTCCAGAGCAGGTTGAGGGCTCCTGATGCAGGCAGGGCAGCTCGTTGTCCTCACCTCCCTGCCCAAAGTCTGGAAGTCAGGGGTGTATGGGGGAGGGGACACGGAGAGGCTGGCGGCTGTCTGGAGCTGTCCCTTACCATGCCTAGCGGGGGTGATACTGGGAGGGGCTGCACCTCAAGAGGGGTCCCAGGAGTGGCCTCTGGGAAGTGGAGAAGACACCCCAGAATCCAGCTGGGGGTGGAGGGAGTGGGTGTTTGGTGGTGGTGGTTGTGCTGGTGATGGTGTGTTATTGAGGGGACGTCTGTGACTGCTCTGGGTGCAGCCTACCCTGCCTGTCCAGCCTTGAGCTCACCCCCTCCCCACCTCTCCTCTTCCAGGTCCCGCTAGAGCAACATGATGGTGGAATCTGCGTCGGAGACAATCAGGTCGGCTCCGTCTGGGCAGAATGGTGTGGGCAGCCTCTCTGGGCAGGCTGATGGCGGCGGTGGTGCAGCCGGGGCTGCGGGCACAGCCGGAGGAGGCCCGGGAAGGGACGTGGCCACAGGCGCAGACAGCAACGGTGAGATGAGCCCTGCGGAGCTGCTGCACTTCCAGCAGCAACAGGTAGGAGCGAATGCCCTTCCCGGGCTCTGGGGAGGAGGAAAGGGCACCCCAGGCTGTCCCTCTCCAGACGGCCGCCTGGGCTCCGCTGCCACACCAGGCAGCCGCACATGGACAGTACCAGGGACCCCCTCTGTGCCCACACATTCTGTGGACACTTTTGAGGAGCAGAGTGTTCCCGAGAGAGAAGTGAGGCTCAGAGGGGGGCCTGAGGTCACGGATCCTGGAACAGTCCCAGAAATGCCATGAGGACAAACAGACGCCTGGGCAGCAGGTTTAAGAGCCCGTGTGTTGAACAGGGGACGCCTCCTCTCCCGTTTCTGGCTAGGAAATGGGAACTGGCTAAAGTAACAGTGTGGGGGGGTGCACAAAGGGGCACCCTCACTGTATTTTTATTGTAAAACATTTCCCCACCTCCAAGGCTGCCTGAACCCCTGATCCAGGCTGTGAAGAAGTTAACTGGCAGGCACCAAGGGCTAGTTTTAGGGTTCAGGCTGGGAACCCCTGTCCATCGCCCTTTCCTCTAACGTCCCATCATCCCCACCCTGAAGTGCAGAGTTCAGGAGTTCAAGACCAGCCTATCTGAGGATCGAGAGGCAGCAGGGTGCAGAGCCGGGCTGGGTGATGACAGAGCATGGCCCCATCCTGGCCCCACCCAGGGGGAAAAGAGAATCATGCTCGACAAGTTCAGGAGAACCGGCCCAGCGAGCCCGGCCTTGGGATTCTCCTTCTCTTGTTTGACTTTGCTCCTGAAATCGCTGCTGGCAGCGCTAACCCTTGGGGCCTCCTCTGGGAACCTGGACAAGTGGAGTCCTGCATGTCCCTCCCCAGCCAGTGCCCCCACCCGCCACCTCGGGTGTGTCCAGATGTCTGCATCCACAGTGCCCTCAGCTCCCCACTCTCCCTGGGTTCACCCTGGGACTCCACCCGCTACTCCGTAACCCCTAGGGTCCCTTTCCCACCATACTCCTTGGAGCCAGAGGTCAGACTAGAAGCAGCACCATCAGAAGCCCTGCACCCCTGCATGGAGCCGATCGGCCAGTACTAATGCAGGAGTTGAGGAAACCGGGTTAAGTCCCAGCCACCCCTTGCCAACACCAAGTCCTATACCTACAGATAAGATGCAGGTTGGGTGCGAAACCCTGTAATATACTGACTTGTTGACATAGATGCAAGAGGAATTGAGGGTTTTTTTTTTTTTTAAGTTCGTTTGTTTGTTTGTTTGCTTTTGGAGAGGTTTTTGCTATAGGGCGCTTGCGCTCACCAGAAAGAGAGAGACAGAGAGATGGAAAGCGAAAAATCACCTCCTGGGGGGATGGCCACGCCACAATCGCTTCTCCTCCATTCTCCTTGTGGGATCTTGGGCATGCATGCACATGCACCCGGAGTGACTTTAAGCTGCCGGGTCCTGGATTCGAACTATATGGGGTTGACTACATGGGAGTCCAGCAACATGACCATTATGCCATCTGTTGGTCCCTAAGTTTCTTTCTTTCTTCCATAAAGAGATGACAGCCCCAGCAGGGTCCGGGACATCGCAGTCCGTCCCTGGCGTCCTCAGTACGTGTGCCCAGTGTACTCAGACAGCTTTCCCATGCCAACCCAGGACCCCGCCTCTCGTGTGGGTTGGCCCCGCTGAGCATCCATTCCACCACTGCACCATCATGCAGTCTGGAATCCAGGGCTTCAGAAGTCGTCTTCTCTTGCCAACAGTGGGAATTACAATGGGAAGGGCTCGTCTCTTTTCCTCAGAGAGGTGGTTCTTAGGAGTTTACAGGCATCTGCCAGGCCTTCTAAGCAGGTTCTGTGGGGGAGAGACCCAGAGTCTGTGCTGTCTGCTGGGGACAGAAGGTCAAAGGATGAAATTCTACCCTTTTTCAAAATAATAACAACACAAGAGGCCACCCATTTCGTATGGCCGGCT